AATGGAGAGATCCTCAACAACCTCAACAACAAGGAGGCTTTAGACAACAACCCCCGGGGTTCTACACTAAGCCATTCGGCCCCAATCCAAACCAAGCACAACCTGCCCAAAACAATCAAGGTACGTCGTTGGACAATGAAACACTTCTTAAGTTACTTACCAATTTGTCTCAGGGGCAAGAGAATCAAACCAAAGCCATGCAAAACCAAGACAAAAGGGTGGATCACTTGGAGAAACAAATTGGGCAGATTGCGGAGTTTGTAGGACAATTCCGAGACCAAGGCAAGCTCCCTAGCTCAACCATTGTCAATCCAAAAGGAGGATTCGAATCTGCCAAGGCAATCATGTTGAGAAGTGGTAAGGAGGTCGGAACCACCCCAAGCCCGTCCAAAACAAGTCAAGAAGAGGACGTGTTGCTGCAAGAGGAGGAGAAAACAACATCCTTTGCCGTGCAAAACAGCACAATCCATCCAACCCGTGCATAATCCAAACACCATCACACTTTGGATTGACAATGGTTGAGCTAGGGAGCTTGCCTTGGTCTCGGAATTGTCCTACAAACTCCGCAATCTGCCCAATTTGTTTCTCCAAGTGATCCACCCTTTTGTCTTGGTTTTGCATGGCTTTGGTTTGATTCTCTTGCCCCTGAGACAAATTGGTAAGTAACTTAAGAAGTGTTTCATTGTCCAACGACGTACCTTGATTGTTTTGGGCAGGTTGTGCTTGGTTTGGATTGGGGCCGAATGGCTTGGTGTAGAACCCCGGGGGTTGTTGTCTAAAGCTTCCTTGTTGTTGAGGTTGTTGAGGATCTCTCCATTTGAAGTTTGGATGGTCTCTCCAACCCGGATTGTATGTGTTGGAATATGGATCATTCCTTGGTTGATTGTGGCTTGGAAATCCAATGGCATTTGCACTCTTCCATCCCCCATTCTCAATCAATTGAGGGCACCTTTCCGAAGGGTGTCCTTGGATAGAACATACACCACATACAATCGGTCCTTGTATCTTCATTCCTTCGGCCATCTGAGACACAATAGAAGTAAGATTAGCTAACTGAGATTGAATATCGGATTGAGAACTTACCTCATTCAAGTGTTGCCGTGGGGGGTCCCTTTGCCCAAGTCCTTCATATTGTTGTGCATTTAGAGCACAGTTTGCAATTAGGGTCTTGGCTGCCATATGAGTTTTGTCCACCAATGCACCTCCCGCCGAAGCATCGAGCATTTGCCTTTCAATGGGAAGAAGGCCCTCATAGAAGTATTGAAGGAGAAACTCCTCCTTCATTTGATGTTGAGGACATGATGCAACAAGGGCTTTAAAACGCTCATAGTATGCCGGAAAAGATTCTCCTTGACTTTGTTGGATTCCGCTAATTTTCTTCCTCAAGAGAATGATTCTTGAAGTAGGGAAGAACTTCTCCAAGAACGCTCTCTTCATGCTCTCCCAAGAAGTAGCGGTCCCGGGTGCCAATTCATAAAGCCAATCCTTAGCCTTTTCCACAAGAGAGAATGGAAAAGCTTTCATCTTCAAAATATTCCCATCAACGTTAATGGGTGTCATGCTTGAGCATACAACTTCAAACTCCTTCAAATGCTTGTTTGGATCTTCCATGGACAGCCCATGGTACTTGGGAATATGATGCAGCAAGCTTGACTTCAATTCGAACTCATCGGTCTTGCCTTGGGCCGCCCTAGGATATTGAATGCATAATGGCATGGCATTATCTAATCCCGAGGCAGAAAGCTTCTTGATTGTTCGATTCTCTATCGCCATGACCTGTTCTTCTTCCTCCACTTCTTCTTCTTCAGATTCGGCCTCAGAACTAGAACTAGGTGGATTAGGTTCTGGTTGCTTCCTCTTTCTTCTCAAAGTTCGTTCAAAATCGTCGTCAAACTCCAAGATATTCTCACGAACGGGATGAGAACTACGAGTCATACACTTGTACCTAGAACAATGAAGCAAAATAATTTAGCAACTCTCTTAGAAGCACGGCAAACACACCCAAAACAAGGAATATGTCACGGTACACAAACAAAAGCAAACAGATTATGCACGGCAAACACAAAAAAAAAATAAAAAGAAAGAACAAATACACACACTCGACTCTTGACCTTAAGACACACTTTGACCCGACACAAACACAAGGGATTAGCAAGTTTGCTAATCCCCGGCAACGGCGCCAAAATTTGATGCGTGATTTATACGCACACAAATTAAACCCTCTTTTTATCAATTGTAGTAAGTATGTAAGTAGGGATCGTTCTGGACCGGGATTAGGAGGGATCGTTCTGGACCGGGGATCGTCCTTCACCAAAATTTGATGCATGATTTGCAGTGAAGCTCTTGAGTGCATCAGACCTATGAGAGGTTGAGGTAGTTGCATTGTTGCCTCTATGTGGTGCACGGTTCAGTCTTTGTGAGCCCTTGTTTTCCTTCATGAACTCTGGCTTTAATTCTGGATGTAAAATCCAGCATGTCTCCTTAACGTGACCAGTATAGTTGCAGTGTTGGCACTTTAAGTGTGGATTCTTCACTTTGTATTTTCTTTCGTTGGCTAGATAAGCCCTTGCTTCAGTTACACTGGTCTTTGTGCCAGTGTTCATGACTTTCCTTCGTACTTCTTCACGTTGGATTGTTGCACATACGCTGGTGAAGGAAGGTAGTTCGGGGTTCATGAGTATGTGGCTTCGTAAATCTTCGTATCCTGAATCGAGACTTGACAAGAGTTGGAATATCTTGTCTTCTTCTGCCCTTTTCAGTAGTAAAGACGCCTCAGTTGTGTGAGGCCGATACATTTCCAGCTCATTCCACATGCTCTTCATGCTGCCTAGAAGTTGAACAAAGGGCTTTCCTTCTTGTTGTATGTTGGAAATGTTCTTCTTCAATTGAAACACACGTGCAACATTGTTCTTGCTGCCATACATCTCCTTGACTGTCTCCCATAGTTTGAATGATGATTCAGAATAACTGAATATTTCAGCTAGTTTACGTTCCATGGAATTTAGGAGCCATGACATAACTAGTTGATCCTTGCAAAGCCAGATTTCATAAGTTGGTGAAGAAACATCAGGAACTTCGATGCTTCCATTTATGAACCCTAGCTTGGACCTTCCACCTAGGGCAAGACTCACTGCTCTCGACCAATGTAAGTAATTAAACTCATTTAACAAGACCGAGCTTAATCTTTGATTTGGATTGACATCCACCTCAGACACGGTTGAGGAGGAAGGTATCTGGGAATTTTCATCTCCAAACGAATAAGAATTCTCTTCCGCCATGTCGGAGATGGAATACGATCAGCTGGAAGAAATGCAGAAGCAGGTTATTTTTCCTGCTCTGATACCATGTTGATGTTTTGATGTATATTTCATGAATAAAACAGTTACAAGATGCAGCATATATGGAAGAAGAAACAAGAAGAAGAGAGGAGGGAAGATGGCAGCTAATGCCAACATCATGATGACCTGCAATCCCTCTAAACTTAATCTATTATCCAGCTTTGACTTTTACAGCAAGAAGAGCTGAAAGCAATGGATGAAAACAGTAGGTGAGAGGGAGGACCGAAGATAACAGCTAGGCAATGACACAAGCTGAGCTGTTTCTCCATCACCACTAGACACCACTTGTTATTCTTCTAATATTTAACCCTACTTTTAATAATGACATCCAATAGTTACCATTCCCTAGACAGGACGGGGAGGAAGAAGAAAGGAGCGAAGACTCTAGACCTAAGAGCTAACGACTTTGATCTTACACTAGACCCAATAGCCTACCTGTTTTCAGTTTCATAAATAGTTAGTTTCAGAAATAGCGTACCCATTTTCAATTTCATAAATAGGGTACTCATGTTGAGTCTCATAAATAGTCAATTTCATAAATAGTGTACCCGTTTTCGGTTTCATACATAGTGTACTCATGTTGAGTTTCATAAATAGTGTACCTATTTTCGATTTCATAAATAGTGTACCCGTGTTGTCAGTTTCGTAAATAGTGTACTCATGTTGAGTTTCATAAATAGTTAGTTCCAGAAATAGTTTAGTACTTGTGTTTAGCTAACTAGATTAAAGCATTTGTGATATTTGCATGTCTTTTTTCTTCTTCGGCAATCGTTAATTTCATTCTCTTTTACTTTATTCAATCTAAAAATTAAAGTTTTTTTTCTAGCATTCTATACTTTCATTCTTCTTAAATTTATTCAATCTAAAAGTCAGAAACCGCAAATTTCCGATTAAAATAGAGAAAACCAAACCATTTTCCTCTCCATATAACCTTGACAAATACGTTATTTTCTGTTACAAGTGTGCATTTGTCATGTCGCACTAATTCACAAAAAATATATCGAGCTAGAGCGCCACACCAACAATCAACTAGGATTGCTTACCATTCCCTGTCAAAGCACCTAACCTCCTCTCTCTCCCCTCTCTCTAGGTGAGTCTGAGAACAGACAGGAATAGTGGGGCAGCAGATCTTTGGAAGCTCCACCCTTATTTTTTTTACTTATAATTTCAAATGTTGCCAAACAACTAAAAAGGCCAACCGTCCCTCTCCTCTTACCGAAAATCTGGTTGTCTCCTTCGAGATCCACTGCACAATTGCACCACACCCGCTGCACGGTTGCATCGCGTACACACTCGGCAGCGCCTTTGTTTCAAGCGGAAGCGGGAATGTCTGCGCACACGTCGGTGAGAACGGAGAGCTTGATTGCGGGAGATCCATAACATACTGCAAACTCAAATCCTTCACTCCTGCCATCGATCCTGCAGAGGGTCCCAATTTCCATTCCATGTAGTTTACTTTCATCCTCATCTGAGATCTTCTAGTCCCAATTTTCATACCCTTTATTTTACTTTCCTCCGAATAGGATGAGAGCATGACATACGCTTCATCTGAAACTGCCCAGCTCCTGCATGACACCTCTTGGTCTTGGGTTTGAAAGTTGGTGTGCTTCCGCTGCTCTCTTGTTGCCCTTGAATGTCATTAACAAAACCAAAACAAATCGCTAACGGAATTGGCTGACGGAATGGGATTACGATTTAAAGATTACAAGTTTCAATTCAGAAAATTCATGCAGCTTTGATCAAGTAATCAGGATTCAACACATAAACACGAAAGAAAACTACGATGCCGCCCTTGGCAAAGGACTCACATTAGAGACTGCTTGAAAAAAATTGCTGCACCAAGGGCCAAAACTCCTTATGACCGATGCAAACTCTGCTGAACAAATTTTACTACTACTACTCCTAACATATGAACAGAGGATCATCGCAAGACCGAAGCACTACATTGAACAGTCATTTGTAAAAACGCTAGAATATGTGCAACTACTTCTCTGTAAGTTCCGCAGCTAATTTACAAGGAATCGGGTTTTTGCTTCTCATTGAGATACCTGCATTGGTTGTTTAGTAGCAGCAATTCCAGGATTTTTCAGTCCTCCGCAAAGTTCCACGCCATCTACCTCACCAGACTCTCTTAAAAGATTCTCTGGCTCTACTTTTATCTTAACTGGTTTACCGAGAAGTGATTTATCTTCCATTCTTGCAATTTCATGGGCTCTTGCACACACTGGAAAACCTTGATCATCCCAAGACTCCAAAATTACACCGGAGCCCAAGCAGGTTCTTCCTTGGTAAAAGGCCGCAAACTGCCCAGCTGCCAGGCCTTGATCATCTTGAGACAAGTGGACAACTGCAACATCTTCATGACCATCTTCACCAGGTTCCATTATAAAGCTGCACTTACAAAAGGCAGGCCCATGCCTAACCTGAAAGGTTTAAAACATTTCAGCTTCTTCCGAATTGGATTCTAAACAGTAAACATTAACTACAAACCATACAACACGATTCAAAGCTTTCCTTGTACAACCCATCCTTGTGAGACTTGTGGACATCCAAAAACACACATAACAATTGGTCTACATCTAACTAACACAACTTGATTTAAGATTTTATTTGATGGATGGTGGTACAATAAGTTGTAAGCGCTTCCAGGTGCAAGTTCTGACTTTGATACGGAGTACAAGACAGAGAAAACAACTAAAACTAGTGGTAAGTTTTCTATGCCACAGTCAAGAGTCATTACTTATGAGACTGCCACTAACATAAAACTGTCTTGTTTTCAAAACTCAAAAGAAAAGACAAGATCAACTAAAAAGCAAAGAATAAAAACCAAACGAAACGTAACAAAATCGTGTAAAAATTTTAGGCTAGAAACATGTACTTGATACATTCATTTGTACAGATAATTTTTTTCCCCTTTTGTTTTGAATCATGCTGTATGGTCTGTAGTTAATGTTTACATTCATTTGTACGCATAATTTCTTATTGTAGTAGCAGTGGACCCACAATGTGGTCACTATGCATGTTGTGCATTAATTGATAATATTGAAAGTATGAGTTCAAGATTAATAAGGAAATTATGTATAAAAGTCATTTTAGAGTTAGACCAATATTTACTCAACAAACAGTCATCGGGAAAACAATAGTATTGCATTCTGAAAACTAATATAAGGAAAAACCTATAACGTCCTTGTACCTTGCACTCTAGCTGACTGATCTGGTTTGGGGACAAACCATTTAGCCATTTCAAGGAGCCTACACGAAACAGGCGCCTTCTTTTGTCAACTGAAAAGTAATTTCTTGACACAAAAACGACATTGTTTTTTATATCCTTCTCAACAACATACCTGCAAAAGAAGATACAGCAGACAGTAAAGCTGAAACCCTGTTTGAAGTGGTACAAGGAGACCCAAACATAAGCTCATACACTGATTCTCAATAAACAGGGATACAGATAATGTGCACATATGTCTCAACCTTTCCTTACATGGTTGAGTTTCTACAGTTGAAAAATGTAACGAAAAATATTTGGTATCATACAAACATGCTTCAATATCATAATGTAGTCTCATGTTTTCAACCAAAAATTACAAACCTTTGCTTGCAATGAATTTTACCTTTCAAAAGTATTCGTGCTACAAAGGCACAATCACATTTTGTAGGAATATTTGACAGGATTTTAGTAGCCACTAACTACGTCAAGGGAAATAATGATATAGAAGTCATTATCATCCTATATATCATATACAGTGGAATACTGATGTTCAATTTAGAACCATATAGCAATTTAAAACTATTGGGTAATATAACAAAGTTAAGTCTGTTAAACACTGTAATATTCCAATTATTGATTCCCAAATGACCAGTTTTAGGATTAAAACGACAACAACACAGGTACCACCAGAAAACCTTAGAAGTGGTCCAACAATTACAATAAGACAGCGTACCAGGGTCCTCCAGGGAGGCGTAGACCTTGTCGTTGACCAATTGTGTAGAACCAAAACCCCCGATGATTTCCTAGGAAATCTCCTGACTCAGCTTCCAATATGACACCTTCCTTCTCCCCTATGTGTCTCGCTATAAATTCACTGAACTTAATCTATTAAAAAAAAAAAAAAAAAGAAAGAAAGAAAAAAAAAAGAAAGAAAGAAAAAAAAAAAAAAGGCTGAGTGAATGATGTTAGGAATTTTAAAATGTCCACTCCACGTGCTACCATACAAAATTTTGGTATCTATATAGGTAGTTGTGCCATTCAAATGATGAAATTATTTTCTGCAAACGGGTAGGAATGTTGGGAGCTCCACAAAACATACCTTCCCTAGAAAGCATATTCCTTGTGAATCCTTTCTGTCTTTGTTAGGCAGATCAAACTTTGTTGCAAGTTTGCGAACTTCATCCTACAGAAATATTCATAGAAAAGGAATCAGCATAAAGAATTACATGCAAGAGTGAAGACTGAAGAGTCTACAGAGTGGAAAGAAAAGTAACAAAAAATGAATTAAAAGGATTACAAACATAAAGAAAGAATACAACGAAGGAAAGACTACAAATTACAAAATAAAAGATTACATATTTTCACAAATTCACAACAATAATGCTATTTTTGTAGCAATGAGAAACCGTGGAAATGTTTGTTATTGACAAGTTAACAATTCACTTCATTTCAACGTGTATTATATAAGATTATTGGAGAATTTAATACAGCAACAGTGAGCCTTTTCAAATTTTTGTAGACAATTTACTCCCCAGCTGAAATTTGTGATTCAAGAAATATTATGTGCACATTTTAGAATTAGCTAAGGGAAGTATCCAATGAAGTATTGCATAGCATTCAAACTATAGCACCCACCACTGACCTTTGACAGACAACCAAGTGGGAATATTAATCTCCTAAGCTGGGCCTGAGAAAGATTTGAAAGGAAGTATGTTTGATCCTTCACCTACAAATTCAGAAGGAAAAATCAGCACAAAAAAAAAATATAGCAGGAAATGAGACGCAATCCCATGATGTTTCAAGGCTTATCATAACAGAGAGACATATAAATGATGATGTATGATGACAGCAAAACTTACATATAGGTCTACATAGCAAAAAACCCTATTTGAATCAAATGAAATAATCTCAAACTTAACAAGTTTAACAAGCCAATATTGATAATCCAAAATGACAAAAAGATGAAAATATAAGTTGTCAATGGTGTATCATATACAGGTACCATATCTTGTGAGAGTTCTAGAACAGAATCTTTGTCCGTTTGACTTGCAGGTGGGTGGACAACATTTGCGTAATGCCCAGATGCCACATAGTCAAACTTCATGCTGTTGATGGAATCCATGAATGCACCTGAAAAGTAACATAAACTTGAAGAAACAAAAAACTAAAAGTCGGATTCTGCATCACAAGAGCCAGAACTAAATCTTAAATTCAACTCATTGCATACCAAATTTTATTCTTGTATTGCAAAGAACATCAGGGTTAGGAGTTCTGCCACATTGATACTCTTCAATAATGTAGGAAACCTGAAACATGATGGGAAGAAAAACTTCAAAAGTTTCTTCCGGTTACCCAATGAGAAGGCAGCTGATAATGAAGACTGGCCAAATAAATAATTATCCATTTAAAGATTTTTTGTTGTTTTTGTGACATGGCAATAATCTAAACTACAGGAGGGTAAATCAAACTTGGGTGCAAGGGTTGAGAACACTCTGCTGACCAACTGGCCTAACCCACATATGCTATTATAAAGTTTTAAAACTGAAATAAATAATAGAATATTAAATAGTTGTGAGATATAATCATCAAGGATATAACTACTAAAAGGCTACATACAGAAGTGACTACAATTGGAACATAACCTACAATTGAAGCACAGGGAAAGTAATGAATACCACATTCTTCCAATATTCATCCGTCAAATGCACAACTTCTAGTGGGACATCAACCTGTAGACAGACGTCATTAGTTTCAGTTGTTAAGAGCCACCGCTTGCATAGCCTATACCAAGAAAACCATGATAAACTTCTTGTATCACAAACAATAGCAAGAGGTTTCTGCCAAAAACGTGTACATATGGGATTCTTTACTCATAAATGTAAGGCAGATGGATGAAAAATGAGGATAGAGAAATTTAAAGATCAAATGTGAACACTCATGTCTGTGTTTATAACTCATAGCACCCCACAAAATGTGAACACTCAGAGTGAAGCCTCATTTCGAAACAGAAGATTAAAGATCAAATCACTTTCGCCCCACTTTATGTTGATGGTTTAGAAATAAAAGAAGATTGCAAGTGAAATAAAGTGACCTGATTGCAGACAGCTTTTGCATACTTCAAGTCTTCTTCCCATGGGCATTCTGACCAAAAGTTCTCAAAGTCTTCCTACACAAAACCACACATCAGAAGCAGCTCAGCCTTTTTTTTTAATTTATATTCTCAAAATAATCAAAATTTTAACAAAGTAGCAGATTCAGCTGAATCAGAACACCCGAAATACGAAATGAATCCAAACAATAACCCAACAAGTTCACATTTTTATCTGTTTCTACACTACCCAATAGAAAATATTTCCCAATTCTTCTAAAACAGTCAAAATGGGATTCATTCAAACATACTTGGAACCAAATTTTGAGGTAGAAGGCGGTGCAGGAGTGACCGGCGGCATGGAGGAGGCGGAGGGCGACACTGCTATCGACGCCACCGCTAAGCAAGACGGCGACTTTAAGGCTCTGATGGGGCATAGAACAGGACAAGTAAGGGCCAACATCTCCATTGAAGCTGTTTGGAGAGCGCGGAGTTTGGGGGACGGAGAAGCAGTTGACGGAGCGGGCGGCGAGAGAAAAGGGTCTGAGGAAGAGGAGAGTTGTCGGGGTTGGAGAGCGAGGAAAAGGCCAGAGATAGGGTTTGAGAGGAAGAGTATGGGAGGTGATGTGGGGGAGTAGAGAGGCTGCCATGGCCATTGGTATTAATCTCGCCATTGGTTTCGTAGCATACACATTATACAGCAAACGACAGCGTTTCGGAAGGTGGAGGTTGGGGGAAGAGTGCTGATTTGAAATTGGGGTTTTTGGTTTTGGAGGGGAGGAAATGGCTGTAACACTGGATGACGAGGAGGAGCTTCCAGATAAGACGGTGCGAAGCAATTGCCATACGACCATGGCAGCTGCGTTTCTCATTTCTTCTGTTATTAATGGGCTTAAAGACGAGTTCTGAGTTTATTGGGCCAAGGTTAGGAACATTTGGGCTGCACAAGTGTTGCAGACTATTTTGGACTAGACTAGTTTTAAGGATTAAGCTGAACTGACTTAGTGAAATATTTGGTGCAGTGTTAGACTAAGAAACATGATAATGAAAATAGTACTGTCACCAGTTTGATGTTTGCTCGGACTAGGACTAAATTATTGTTCTATTTTAATTTTAATTTTTTATTAAAGACATTATCAAAATTAATAATATTGGATGAAAGTGAGACTCAATAAAAAAAATACAAAAACCAAATTTCTTGCCAACAAAAGAAACATACATGTTTCAAGAGTAGCTTTTGTGGATGCAAATTTCTGCCGTCTTCTCCTTTAACGAAAATGCCCTACGCGCCCACGATGAATGGGTGGGGCTTTGGTCGAAGAATCTTTGATGCCAAAGTTAGAATTCTGAAAAGAATGTATTTAGAAGTTTGTGGATAGCCAATAACTTAGCTTTTTAGTGGGATAATAGGGATATTTATAGGGGAGTGGCCGACCATATTTGGAGAATAGTGGCCGGCCATATATGGAGAAATTGTGTGAGTAATTGCAAGATATTATGTGAAATAATATCTTGCAATTAACATGGTAATTAATCCTAAAATAAATAAGAAATTTGAGAGTTACATTTTGAATAAGGATTTGACGAGGAGTGATGAGAGGGATTTGAATAAATACCATTTTGATCACCTTTGACTTTTCCTTGATTGAGCCGTTATTGTTCATTGCATGCGCGTGGGAATCCCGTTGTGCCTCGAGGGTAATTTTGTCCTTTCAATCCAAAAGTCCACGTGTCACCTCCATAATTTTCTTGATTATTTTTGGCTCCACAGATGCCCCCACACTTGTTGGGCTGCTCGTAGGAAAAGGTAGCAGGTGTAAATATCTTCCCTTGCTTTGGGAAACATAAGATTGTTTCCTATTTAGGTGTAGATTCCCACATTAATTGAAAATTAAATCCTTCTAGGAAAGGGAAATAAATCATTTCCAAAGTCGTCGAGGATGTGTGAAAAAATGGCTGGGGATGACATGGTCATAGCTGCTATCGGTTTAATGCGGCGACGGCTCGGCGCTGATCGAGGTCTGGGTGCAGTGACGTGGGTCACGGAGACAGGCTGAGGATCAGCTTGGATTCGGCTGGCATGCATCAGGGGCCATTTGGCTTGGGCCAAGGCTGGTAGGCGTTGGGGCGCGAGGTTTGGACTCAGGCCCGTGTAATTAGGCCATTGGGTTGGCCCACATGAGAGATGAGAGAGGGATAGGGAGGCGCACAGCCGTCAGCCCCCTTCAATTACGTTGAGTTGTGAGGCCTGTCGGGCCAAGTGAGAGAAACGGGAGCCAGCGGGGTCTGGGCTCCCTTGGTTGCTGCTCTTAGGCTGTGAAGCTTGCTGCACTTTTTTTTTTTTTTTGGTGCATCCATTTAACAATTCTTCATTGCATCTTTGTAGAATTTCTTCGAGCATGTATTCTTCAAGCCACAAGAGTGATGATGGTGTATCGCCGTTGTATCATCAAGGCGGTTCTTTGAGTAAACTAGGCTACTTCAAGGCTGCTTACTTCAAAATTTATTCCGATGACTCATTTAGAGATTTCCTTGAAGCATATAGGCATGCCATTCCATTTGGGATGCGTGTGAAGCTTGTCAAAGAGGGTAGCAGCCGTGAGCCATGTAATGGGGCTCGAAGAGCTATCAAGTTTCACCCCTACTACTTCGTGTTGGAATTTACTTTTCTTATGCTGTGTTTCTTCCAAGAACTGCTTTGCTCCATGAAGTGTGCCCCCGCTCAATGTTTTCCAAATGCAATACGTGTGATGGTGAGATTCCTCAATCTAAGCTAATTCTTTGACTTGGATCTGACCGTCAATGAATTCTGGTACTTATTTGACATAGGTCATATTGATGGAGTTGGGCAGCTGCAATTCCGCCATAGTCTTTTCAATCATTCGAGCAAGAGACAAGTGGAAAGTGGGAGTCTGATTCTTCCCCTAAGCTGCGTGTTCTGACGATTTTTGTCACTGGTAAGTAGATTGCTTGGTCTTTAGGCTACTTTGTGCTTTTGCTGAGTTGCCCACTAATTTGTTGATTATCCTCATCTGTCTATGTAGATTTAGAATTTGGCTTAACTCCCAAAACTTCTCCATATATAAAGAAGGTGCACGCTGCTTTAGGTATCCCCGTTGAGTACCGTGAATGGTGCTGGTTGCTTAGTCCTCTTCGCCGAGAGAAATGTGGGATGCCCCCGAGAGAAGAGATCTTCCCTGCCTGCTCAAGAGATGCCAGTTGAGCAAAACCCAAAGGCTTTTTCCGCTGCTCGTGAGGGTCCACGCGTTACCAAGAGGCTTGTGATTGACTTGACTTCTTCCAAGAGGAAGAAAGATGAGGTTGCTAGATCTGAGCCGGTGACTTCTATCATGCCAAAGATAACTAGTACAATTGCTGATAGGATTGCTCAGCATAGAGGTTTCATCTTACCTCTAGTGCCGAAGTCTGTGCCAAGGCGTCCGTTAGGATCTAAGCTAGGTTCACATTTGGAGAGGCTTGCTATTATGAAGAGCGATAAGGTAGACCCTACTAATAAAGTGGCGCCACGACGTACTTCTCTTGCTATTGAGACTAGTTCGCCTGCTGAGAAAGAGAAGACTGCTCACGTAGGCAGTTGTGAGAAATCCACTAAGCTTGTTTCTGGAGAGGTTGTTGAGATCTGTGCACTTTTGAAGCTAGATATGCTTGAAGATATGGACGCGTGTACCAATCTTGTTGATGGCCTTAGAGGGGTTGTTTGCCTAGGTTCATTTGCGAAACACACAACTCAATATAGGAGGAGTGCTCTGTTTGCCATGATGCAGAAAATGGCAATTTTGGTAGCTGAGTCTACGCTTCTTGACCAAGAGGATACCAAGGTTGCTAAGGAGATAGCAATGACTATGGCAGCTAAGGCTTATTCTTATGCCGAGAAGATCAAGAAGTTGGAGTCTGAGCTCGTCACTTTGAAGGGGTCCAATATCTCTGCAGCTTGAGATCGTTTGACAGGGGATTGCTGACTTGAAGACTAGGCTTAACGTGATCCAAGTTAAGTATGAAAGTGTTGAGAAAGAGATTGGTTATTACATACCTCAGATTCAAGATCTTGAACGTGCTGTTTCTGTGCTTCGTTCTACTGTTTACGCAAAGGATGAAGAGTTGATTGCTACTTATAATCAAGTGATCCACTTTAAGAAGAGCGTTGATAGGCGGAACCTCAAGTGTTGGAACTTCAAGGTGCACTGAAGATCAACGAAAATCTGAGCAAGGAAGTGGATGAACTGCAATGCGTCCATGTTGGTCTGCTCGAGGAGAACGAGCAACTGAAGGGGGAGAAGGCTGGGCTCGAGGCAACACTTGTTCAGAGTTAGGTCGATTTCTACAAGCTGGGTTATGTAGATCATCTTTTTGGTAGGCCATCTGACTTTGAGTTTGCTGGGAAAGACTTCGAGACCTTGTCTATTTCTCCAGAAGACTTGTTTGCCTTTACTTTTGAGGCTTCCATTGGTGAAGTAGTCAGAGAAGTTGGTGTCCAGGCTAGGGCAGCCGGGGTTGAAGTGTTGGATGATGTCGCTACTGAGAGTGTCACGGCTGTTGAAGGTGTAGCGACCTAGTAGTCGTAGGATGTCGAAGTTGCTGAAGAGTAGTCTTCTAGGTAGCTTTTAGGATTTTTTTTTCTTTTCCTTGTTTCTTTTTTACTTTGCTTGAACTCCATCACCTTTGCTACTTGTTTATCAATTTTGCTAGAAAATTTAATAAACTTGTTGCCTTCGTTTTTCTTCATCTTCACTTCTTTTGTTTACGCTCAACCTTTGACTTTTAGACCAGTGCAGGCATGTTGCTTTTCTATAAGCAGATAGGCCTACGTAGCCTATAAAGCTGTAGGTGTCAGTGTAGAACTTTTGCAAAGTTGTTAGCCATAGGATCGGTAGCCGGACACCTTACTTATAGAAGCAGACGAGTCCACTTAACCACTTGGCTGTTCACTTTTGCGATTGTATAAGTTTAGCACGACTTACTGCTTGAAGGGCAGGTAATTTTAGGGTTCTAGGACAGTTGTCCATAGGGCATGCTGCGTAATGTGCCTTCTTCATCTTTAAGGCCTAATCCCCCATTTATTAGGCCAAGAGACCAAAACTCCTTCAGTTAGTTAAGCTTTGAAAAAGACTATTATGGCTACTTCTAGGAATCCTAATGTAAGCCATCGTGCACCTAGTTACACTAGGGCAGCTCGACTCATCCACGTCTAGATATTCGGAGTGTATAGTTTATCCTCTTGCATCGGAGAGCAAACCCATATGGGTGTTGGGGAATTGGTTTACCATCTTGCACTAAAGAGTATGCTTGGTCCCCAAGGGGGTGCAATTTACGCGATAAGTCCCTAAGAAGGGTGTTATCTTCTTTTGAAGTACATGAGTCATCAATTGTTGTAAGCATGCAGCCGAGCCAAGTTGTAAAACGAGTGAAACGAATGAAAACTTAGCTGTGAGGTAAGAACTGCATAACAACTGGATAGTCATTGGCTTGCGAGGTGATGCCTGTCGAGCTACTTGAGTGTTCAGGCTTTGATGTAGTGGGAGGTCACACATGGTACTTCCTCAAATTGTAGGCATTCCACTGTTTTTCTATCTTTTTGTCATTCATGATGGTAAGGGTGTTGCTACCCTTACCGCCTACTCTGCTGATCTTGTATGAATTTTCCCAGATGAGATATATCTTTTTGAAGCTTTCTCTACGGGCCTTGGTGAAGACTTTTCATA